ATTATTTTATTAAAAATTCTTGCTTTCTTTTCTTTGCATTTAATTTAGTACAAAATAATGTTTGAGTAATTTTTAAAATAGATGATTCGCGATATTTTATAACTGTTCGAAATTTGTACAATAAATGTCTTCTCGATGATGCAGAATTATTTTATTAAAAATTCTTGCTTTCTTTTCTTTGCATTTAATTTAGTACAAAATAATGTTTAAGTAATTTTTAAAATAGATTCGCGATATTTTATAACTGTTCGAAATTTGTACAATAAATGTCTTCTCGATGATGCAGAATTATTTTATTAAAAATTCTTGCTTTCTTTTCTTTGCATTTAATCGTTTAGTACAAAATAATTTTTGAATAATTTTTAAGATAGATGATTCGCGATATTTTATAACTGTTCGAAATTTGTGCGATAAATGTCGATAATGCAGAATTATTTTATTAAAAATTATAATAAAATAATGTTTGAGTAATTTTTAAGATAAATGATTCGATATTTTATAACTGCTGGAAATTTATGAAATAAATATCTCCTCGATGATGCAAAATTATTTTATTAAAAATTGTAACAAAATAACGCTTGAATAATTTTTAAAATAAATGATTCGTGATATTTTAACTGTTCGAGATTTGTATGATAAATGTCGCGTTTTCTCGATGATTTATAAATAGTACTTTTTTTCTTTTTTTGTTCTTTTGTTTCAAGATTCGATGTTGGCGTGATAATTGCAGGGTTATTAAAATGTGCGTGACTGTTATTACATCGTTCCACAATAATTCTTTCTTCTAAGAACGCGGCGACTTTCTCTTGACCGTTTTCGACCGTTCTATGCGTCCTTCATTTTACGGGCTCGGTCTTTCCAGGCCATGAACTATCTAATACCGTGTCATTTCAATCTTTCACCACAAGCATTAGAAGAACCAGTTATATAGAATGTGCCGGTTATATAGAATTGCGTACGAATTTTTATCTTAATTTATTAAACGAATTCTTGATAAATGAATTATTGAAAATTAGAAATTGGGAATTAATGAGAAATAAAAAAGGAATGAAAATATTATTTTCACGAAATAATATCGCTTGTATAATTTTCTATAAAAATTAATATTTTAACTCGCACTTATCTCAACATAACAAATTCAAAAATTAACATAAAAGACACACGTCTTACAGAGAGCAATACAAGGTTTTTTTCGTCATCATCGTGTTTTTTTTTTTCGTTACCACGCGAAAGTCACGCGTGTCCCTTGTTCCAAAGGACTCTCCACGCCGTTGAACGTTGAATTATAGATAAACAAGGCAGAAACGCTGTTCCCGCGTCTGTTCAAATCGATGCACCACAACCGTATCTACTACCGTGTCTTCTATCCTCCTTTTCTACTTCCTTCCACCTCGGAGTCGAGTGCAATTTGGCGCACGTGCCTCGTAAAAATTTCATTCGGACGTGCACGAGCGCAAACCACGGATACATTTCCACGAGTACATTCGCCTCTTCTTCAAACATTAATTCGTAGTCTCCTACTATTAATTCTGTATGAAATCGTCCGTTTGTCACTTTAATATTCGTGTGATGCTGGTATCCAGTTCAAAAGGCTGTCTTTTACAGTGAAGTGTTAATTCTTGGAACATATTTGGAGATTCTAGACGTTGAAATAAATGAATTAATATAACAAAAATATCGGTTGAGGCTTATTTATTAAGTTATAAGCAATTGAAAATTGCGTCAGAGGAAGTGAGATGAAAAAAATCGTATTCTATTTCCGCCTCGCTTCATCTAATGCAAATTTAAATTTAACAAGTAAACCGATATTTTTGTATATTAATTTTTGTGTTTGTTTTGATATCTAGAATCGACAAAAGTCGCATGATTCGTATTAATATCCTGTGCGTAAAGATTATAAAAAGAAAAATTTGATAAATCTATTTTTGCTGGTTTTTTCAGTTTTTTTTATTATTAGCTAAAAGATAAAACTTTAATATTTAAAAATAAAAAGATTGAAATATTTGATATATTCGGGAATAGAAATAGAATAGTTTTAGTCATGGATGTGTAGGCAACTCAACAAGGCTATCTTTAAAATTAGAGAATTTTATTTATCAATTTTTAATATTTTTATTTCAACGATTTAAGTAATTTAGTTGTGTTTAATGATTTGAATGATTTTCTCTTTGACGAAAAGATGTTACGTAGCTACGATTTTTCGTGTTTTAAGGGATGCGTACATAAGAGGATGAATTTAGTGAGCACAATGTGTTTGCACCTGGTTCTATTTGAGATGAATGTACAGGAACTACAAAATAATAATA